TGCTCGGTGGAGGGCATCTGTCCAGTTAATCTGGAAGTAAAATAATCAAAGGAACGCTGTGGCCTGGAAACCAATCTACATCATCCATAAATCAAACCTTTTGTATGTGTCTTGATATCTCTACGTGGCCAAAAGCTATCGAATTTAAACATTTTGAATTTTTTACTAATTGTTTTGATCTCAGACGTAAATAACAGCTACTAATGGTCGTGCATGAAATAAAATACCAGGATTATTGCAGAAATTAAAGCCTCAGTGCCATAGAGATCATCTAATGAAGCGAAAGCTTGGATGCATGTTGGCTTAATCAGAACAATAGAGCTGTCAACCAGATAGGGATACTGTAGGGAGCAATGCCTCAGAAACAGCGCGGTCTAGCATTGGGCAACATAGCTCCTCTCTATCTGCATTTATAGTGGGCATATAGAATATGCTTCTGCTTCGATGTGATTCACAGAACCTTGTGTGTGCGTGGTGAGAATAAATTCTAAATTCAGCTTCAATATTTACTCCTCTCACTGGCACTCCTGTCACCACCGTGATCTGGAAGCAGGAACTTGCAGGCCCAGAGTGATCCATGGGCAGTTGAGTGCTGTGACCTTTTCATTTGGGTCCTTCCACAGGAGGACGAACACTTCCTAATCACCACACGCATTCTAATACCCTGTACACAAGGGGTAAGAGACAATGCTCTAGATTATGGATATTCTTGGCCTTGGGAAAAAAAATTTATTTTCCCCTTAAAGTTTGTAAAGGTAATTACCATTATTTACAGTGCTGAGGGCAAAGCCCCACCCTGGGCTTCGGGCCAGGGGATCTCAGACTAGAGTGTAGTGAGGTGAGCCAACTCCAAGACAAAAGCACAATTATGTTCACACAAAAACCAGCACTGGTGGCAGTGGGATGGAGGAAACACCCACGCAGGGGGGAGGCGTGTGGAGGGAGGGGCTTCCTTTGAAGTTTTGCATAAATCTGGTGATTTCCCTCCTCCCCCCACAGGGCTGGGAATGGAGATTCTGGGTTTTCATCTTGGGTCTCTTATTAAGCCGTGCCATAAGGAAACGGACTTCCTCCTTACTTGATTTGCCAATTTAAAAAACCGAACTTCAAATAAAAGGATTCTGGAAGAATTAAGAAAACGGGAAATGTTGTGCAAGGTGCTGTGAAGTTTTCTTCATTTCTTGGCAGAAAGGAGCTAAAGTAAAACACCAGAAAGAAGGCATCTTTGCTTTGTAAGCCCACCTTACTTGTCAGGCACTTCACTTTCCCTTCCGTTCTGATTCACGTCCATTGTCCACTTAGGAAAGTGTCAAAGCAGTGGGGTTGGGAGAAGTATTGCCACAGTACATCTGGTTCTTCCAGTCAGAAAATAATTAGCTAATAACTGCTTGCACACGTTACCTTTCTGTTGTATCTTTTTCTTCCTGCCAGGATTAGGGCCAGATGATTATTTGTGCTAATGGTGTGAATCAGTGACAAGAAAAGCGTGTAATGGAAGTGTTGACATGCCTTGAGATATCTGGCCCTGACAAGGGAACCACGGGCAGTGACAGGAAGAATCAGGACCCACTGAGCACTCCCCACCTGGCCCTAGACTGGCTGAATGCCCTGGGTACTAAAGCCCAGACTCCCAGGTCATCTATAGCTCAGTTGTTCAGGAGGAAAACCATAGCAAGTTGGATTTTTTCTCTCAGTCCAGGAGGAAATGCTCTTTGGGAAATAGATGTGGACACGTGAAGACTGTTGGCCATGACCTCAGTGAAGCCGAGGCTGAGGACATTTTGGAGCACCAGCCTGCCTCTTACTCCTGTACAGGACAGAGGCAGACACCTGACAGAACCCAGCAATCAGCTCCACACACCTAGCTCTCTCGCAGTGCTGGCAGCAGAGAGGGAAGGGGAATTACAAGCAGGCTGGACTTGAAACAGTGCTGTGGCCCCACCTGAATTTCAGGTGCCCCAGGGAGTGCTTTCAACCACCTGGAATGGAGGCTGTTTCAGGGTACAGATGCAATATGTGTTTGTCTTGCTTTTGTTTGCACCTGAATGCAAGTACCAGGTGGAAGCCAGAAGGTGTGGAGCATTGCAAACAATTTTGACTGTAAATAAAGAGAATTTAAGTGTTTAAAGCCTGGAGAAAGAGAGAGAGAGAGAGAAAGAGAGAGAGAGAGAGAGAGAGAGAGAGAGAGAGAGAGAGAGAGAGAGAGAGAGAGAGAGGAAATGAGAGGGTAGGGTAGAGAGAGAAGGAGAGAAGAAAGGGAAGAGGAAATAGATTTACTATTAAAGGCAATAGAAAAATACACAGAGATTTGTAATGGTGTGATACTGCTACATATTTCCCATGATAGGTTCATATCCCCGCATACAACCCATCCTCACTTTATCTATATATATAGCTAATAAGCCCTTGGATCTATGATCTGCCTTGTTCAGTACAGAATATGCCTACCATGTACCAGGCACTAAACACTAGGAATAAATGATGAAAGATTGTCAGATAGGAAACAAACACTTATGATGTGATAGCTGCTATGGTGATGTTCCACAGGCCAGGACAACAAAAAGAACCATCTATATATCCTTAGGACAGTGAAGGAAGACTGACGAGGAAACACATCAAAAAGGAAGATCTCACATAAACCTCTTCTTTCAGCCTCCGAAACAACCCAAGGCCGTGGGAATTGAAATCACTAGATTTCAATTCCCACAGCCTTGAAATGCATTGGTGTTTTAGGCCTTCTTTGTGGGTAGGACATGTCTCTGTACTATATCAAATTTTGAAACATAACATTTTACTTTAATGCTAAGATTGATGTGAATATTTATAGGGCAATACGTAACTTTGAGACTCATTTTTTATCATCCTGTTTTGTTGAAAATTGTTCTGCAAAAGACATCAAAATTTGGAAAATATGTAATATTTAGCTTTCTCATTTTTTTTTAATAAAGTCACTTTTTGTCAACTGTGAAAAAAAAGGCAATTTTGTAAAGTAAGTCCTTGCATTTTAAAAGAAAATAAAGTATGTATTATGGTTAAATACATTTTTGAGTGAGATGACCCAATAGTGCTAAAGAATAATTTACTCAATAGGATAAATGTCATCCTTGTACTTCCCCAGCTATGTAGACAGCAAGTGTCATGGCGAGGTTACCCACAATGGCCTCCATTCTCAAGAACCAGACCAGGCTAATGTTTATACTCAGTGGTAGTTACACTAATCCTAAGGGGACTTATAAGATCAGAAATTGAAAGCATATCTAGACTGAAAGATAAAGATGTTCAACAGCATCTCTAACAGCAGTCGAACAGAAGTCTGAGAGCAAAGTGTCATGACCATAAGCAGACCTGACGGAGTTGGACCCATGCCAAAAGATGTGATCCCCATCTCTCACTCCAGCCCGCCCAGTCTGTGTGTGATTCCCACACCTCTGCCTCGAGGTCCCCAGGGGGTTCCTGACATTTCTTGTGTAAACACGACTCCACAATATTGGGTTTGTTTGTTGAACATAGAATTATTTGAAGCTTTCAGACTCCCCCCGCCCCCCTGTAGATTATGAAAATATGGGTGATGAAAATGACTGGATTCACTTGACCAGCATGAAATACATAACCCAAAAAATCCTTAGAATTAGACGTTCAGACTCAGCATGAGTGTGTCTGTGGGCTTCTGTATATGAGTCTAGGAATCTTTTCTCTTAAAAAATTATGGAAATTTTAAGAAGAGAGAATCAAGATATCCGATTCTCAGACCACAGGATTCAGATACACACATTTTAGAATGCTGTTGAAGGCTTTTTACCCTCAGATGATGGGAATGCAAAATGTTATGCAAATCAGACTTAATCTTCTGAGTGATTTGCCTCAATAAAAAAAGTTAAAGATGCAAAAAGACCATATCCACATTTTTAGGTTGTGTTTTTATGAAAATAAAGTGTTGCTCAGAATATCTTGGGAGCTTGAGCAGACATCTAGTCACTACCCATGGGTCCTTCAGGTTTCCTTAGCGTGAACAGCAGACTGAGATGAGATGAGTAATGGTTAATATAAACTCAGTGAGTGCCAATCAGGCAAGGAAGAAGAAAAAAGGAAGTCAGAAGAAAGAAGAAAAGGGGAATGTGAAAAAGGAAGAGAATGAAAATAGACTACAGATGTGACCATGACTAATGACATTTTCCTTCCATAAATTCCCTATTCTTGATGGACATTTACAATTTTTAAAAAGATTATATTCTGCTTCAGACATCGTTTAATATCAAGCACAAGTAGATTTATGAAAGTTACCCCAGGCACACCAGAAATGTTAAATAACACACTAACAGATTATGTGTTAACTTTTAAATAATACATTGATCAATAGATTGTCAGTGTCCAAGACATGTGCTCAGTGCCTTTATGAGAACACAATTAGCCATCATAATTAGGAAAGGAGCCTCAGTGCATGTGACATTAAGGATGAAACTTGAGTGGCAGTATTCAGCATAGGCGCTGAGGAAAAGAATTGCAAGTCAAGGGCGTGAGTAGCAATGATCCTGGGGGGAGGAGCATGTTCTTGCTGCAGTGTGAGCAGAGGAACACCACTGCCATCATGAACGGGGTCCAGCAGCAGGGGACAGATCATGTGCTCAGCTCTTTGGGCCTTCTTTCAGAGTTGAAGTAAGTTTCTTATTTTGGCTATTACTTCCAAGGCAACTGGATTTCACCTGAGAGTTTCTTGTGGTATCAGAGACCACAGGACTAGATTTATAGAAATTATTCTCTCTTTTTGTTACTTCTGTACTTTTAAAAATAATGTATTTTTTATTGATATCAGAGAGGAAGAGAGGAGAGAAACATCAATGATGAGTGAGAATCATTGATCGGCTGCCTCTTGCATGCCCCCTAATGGGGATCCAGCCTGCAACCTGGGCATGTTCCCTTGACCAGAATCAAACCTGGGACCTTTCAATACACAGGCCAATGCTCTACCCACTGAGCAAAACTGGCTAGGGCTATAGGAATTATTCTTAAACAAATAGTTAAAGTTCAATGGATTCAGTGGTAATGGATGGGTGTATCAGATCAGTGAAGTTCTAAGCAGGGCACGATGTGGTCAGGTTTGCATTTTAAGAAAGGTTCTGTTACTACTATACTTGCAAGTTAATCTGATGAAGTTCTAGGTCAAAAAGAAATTTGTCCTTTAAATAAAAAAATGTAATTAATATGATGACTTGAACAATAGTCATTTGGCTTGGATATATAATGCATGAAATGATTTTGTTTTACTTGGTTTACAAAAAGTTTTGGAAAAGGGATTCTGGCATTTTCTGCGAACCTCATTCTCCTCTGTCTACAAAATACAATTGAAATTGTTTATATGTTGTTATTTGGATTCTGACACACTCCACATTTGTTTCTTGTATTTTAAAAACATTTCTAAATATAGGATGGCAGCACAAACACAAATACCTTATAGTTGGCTATAGGAGCTCATAAATTACTTCTGAAAGACACATATCCAAATTAGTATTAACTTATTATAGTTGTCTCTTGCACAGGGAACATATATTGGCTTTCTACATATTTCTACATTTCCCACATCAGAAGAGCATTCCTGGGTGAAAAGGACAGTCCTGGGAGGACAGTTGGACTCTGGTCAATAGTTGTTGGGCAAGTCCATTTGTCTCTTTGTGATTGGTTTAACATATGGTGTAATAATATGGCCTTTTCTGCCTAACAAAGGTTGTTAGAAGTCTTAAGTTTGCTAATGAAGGTGCAGGTGCTCTGGAAATCACGATAGGATGTTGGTGGCCATTAACGTGACACTTTCAAGGTGAAACAGAGTAGTAGAGTAGAGGCTTCCAGTTCAATGGTCCGGTCCACGCAGCTCCTGTCCAATGCTTGGCAAACAGGTATTTGATAAATAGTGTTGAATAAGTGAATATCCACATATACGCATTTAAAAAACATTAAAAGTGTTAAAACTATTGAGGATCCTGAATTATAAAAATGTTTAAGGACGTAGTTAATAACTCTAGCTATTGATATGTAAATAAAACCAGCCCCTATCCTCAACCCAGTTTTCAATACAGTAAACACACACACACACTCACACAAAAACAAAAATCAAAGCAAGCAATCCTATTCCCTCCCCATGCATGCATAGAAATGTCACCTTTCCAGACCTGATGTCACCTTATTTACATTTTTTCTACTTTTAACCCTAACTCAATTAAATTTATCATTTGTAATAACCTAGTTTTGAGGGGGAATTTATCTGAATATAGACATGCTCTATGTAGGACTTTTCCTTTTAACTGTGGATGAGGCTGAGAAAATTTATGAAAACTAGGATTTAAGGCTGCAACTTTCAGCTCAGTGAGAATGTTCTCTAGGAATGGCAGTAGGAGTAGAACCTGCTCTGGTTTGTGATTCTGGAGAAGTCACTTACCTGGGGTACAAGAATGGTCTTTGCTTTTATTCTGGAGGGATACACACACACACACACACTCCATCCTATTTCAAAGTTGTATGCAGAAGAGCTCTGAAAGGAGCATTTCAGATGGAGGGCCTTGGAAGGATATGAAGGCTTTTCTACATGTTCTCTTGCTCATTTTCCCCTTTGGTTATTCAGTTTGGGGTCCTGCTGTTTTTTGTTTGTTTGTTTGTTTATTTTTTGTTTTGTTTTTTTCCTTTCTTTTCTTTTTTAACTTAGGTCCAAGCAACAGACTGTCCAGGTTCCCTGAGAGAGGATACATTTTCAGTAGCAAGGATAAAGAGAAAGACTATTCTTAGAGAAAATACAATGAATGTAAAGTGTTTACAGTTAGCCTTTAGTAACTGGGCTGGAGCCATTACCCTTTGCCTGGCTTCTCACATGTTTCCTTTGAGCAGGACCCGTCTTATTCTCTGCCACCTGGGACCTTTCCCCTCATGCTGAAACTTCCAGATCAAGGTTCCCAGGCCCCTCTGCGTCCTCCTGTCTGTGGACATAGATACAATGTAGATTTCACTTTTTAGGGGGAGGCATCTCTACCTCCCCAGCAAGGAGGAGCTTGTTTACTGTGATCCATCCTGAACACAAACCACTGTAAAACCTGTATCAAGTTACACACAAGTACACAGATCACTTTTTACACTGATATGAACTGACAAAGAACTTACTGTTATATAGAAATATCTATTCTATTTTAATCAAAACAAAAGTTACGTTTCATTCTTTCTCTGGATTAGAAGGGGTTGGAACAGATTTATCTGTGTTCTAAGTTTGCAAAAATGACAGGACTGTGCTTCCAGAAGAGGAGACCCAGATGGAGGAGATGGCCTTGTGTGTGTTGTTTATAGGAAAGGATGTGTTCCAGAGGCTACCAAGAGAGAACCGACTTTCCAGTCTCCCAGGCAAGAACCCCGTCCTATCTAGCAGCGGGCAGGCATGCCAGAGGCTGACCAGACTATCTCAACCCCCTCCCCAGGCCCATCCCTCTTCAAGAAAAGACCACACAATCCAGAGAACAGACCAAACTCATGGTCTCAGGCCAGGATCTTTTCTCTGTCTTGGATATTCTTATTTTGAAACTCAAAAGTGACAACGGGTGGGTCTGCCTTTGGCTACAGGGCAATGTAAATATAATAGTGTCATAACCATGTTTGCAAGAAAAGTCTACCTTCACTTTATGCGACTGTAGGATCTCCAGCAATAGTCTAGTCTGAAAGTCTGTCGCAAGTGTATTGGATGTTTCCGTTTGCCAGACCTGTCAGGATAAATTAATTACAGGATGTTGCAGACATGGCAGAGCTCCAGCAGCATCTTGCATAGTTTAATATAGCCCCGTTTCCCCATTTCAATGCACTTGTGGTTAGATAAATCCTCAGAAATTTACAGCTGCTATAGATGAGTTTATGTACTCTGCCTGCACACATGATAAGTACAATAAGAATTTGTGTTCTTAAGGTGCATAGATTTTACTGACATTTCTTTACCACGATGGAAATATTTAGTTGCTAAAAGTAGCATCTGCAGATACTTTTGAACATTAACTTCTGTGTGACAGGCAGGGATGGTTAAAAACATGACCGTGCTCAGCCATCTTCCCTCCACTTTAAATCGAAGAACTGTAGCTCAGAAAAAAATTAAATGAGCATTGATAGCAAATGGTCCCGTGAACAAACAGAAAAAAAGAAAAAAAAGAATTACTATTAATTTTCAGTTGAAAACACGGAAAAATAACAAACTGAAGCTACCATGCTTTTCTCCATGGAAACGTCTTCCTTTGGTCTCATGAGTACTTTTTCACAAGCTTCAGCTGTACATTTTTGCTCCAGCAACAAGTCATTTTCCTAATTTTCTTGCTTTTTTCTCCTTTTGGATTCTATTTCTTTCTGAACTTCATTAAGCAAGTCATGTCCATTCCAAGCATTTTAAATGATTAGCAATATATGTTTACTAGATAAATGTTGTAGAAACAAACCATTCCTACATTTTATGCTACCATATTCTCTCAAATTCTTAAAAGAATCAAGTGATGATTTAAGAAGAAATAAACTAAATTAAGTAAAAATCAGATTCTTCAGTACTTTTAGGAATGACACAAGTATATACAGCTGGACAATTCCGACATAGTAGCGGTAGGACATGCATGTTACAGATATTTTTTAGACAGAGCAGAAATTAAAATTGTTCAATCTTAGCATTATTCTAAGTTTTCAAGACAATAAAAAAAATAACTCAACTATAATCTGAATGAATTTTAGGTGTTAGAAGAGCAATTTCAGAAAACAGAGGGCTCACAACATATGCTTGATGTAGATTTGAAGAGCATCGTAAGAAAAAAAAAAGTATTCTTTGTGTTTACAAAACAAATGTTTTTATACTATCTAGTTCCTGCCTTAACTTAAAGTATTTCCTATTCACTTTAATAATTAGAGCAGAAGTATATGATGAATGAAGGGCCTCATTACCAAGCTTGCTTTCTGGGTCTCTGCAGAGAGTAGCTGTCTGCTTTAGCCTACTTGGTCCATTGTTAACCCTAAATGAGACTGACATTCAATTCTCCCGCAGATAATTGGTCCATCCATAGACTGAGTTTGCCAGTCACCAGAACCTTTTGATTGACACGATGCTTGATGTTTTTATTATCTTATATGACTAGAATGGCGCTCTTTGCTGCTTCTTGAATAATATGCTACTGTATTTGTATTAGTTTGACTCCATAGAATCTATTTCTTAAGAAAATGTAAAAATTACAGCATGGAGTAAAGATTTATCAAAGTAATTATGGATGAACACATGACCAGTAAAATGAGTGAACAAAATACATCGGTAATTTTTTTTTTTTTTTTTACTCAAGTGTATTTCAATTTTTTTAGGTCACTGTGCATTAAAGACATAATAGATGCTTCTAGTACCTGAAAGTGGCTATAGGTACATCCAGATCACTTCTTCAGTGAGTCTTGCCTGTGCTGGAGTGTCCAACTACCACCAGTTGCTGGCTCACTCTACATAGAGACTGAGCCCAGCGGATGAGTCTGACAAACCTCCACTTACAGCCAGCATTCATGTATACTGGCCAAGTGCCTCAGCCTCCAAAGTCTCGGTTTCCTTATTGGCAGGGCAAAAAAGATTTTATCTATCTCTTGGGTTTGATGTGAAAAGTAAATGAGGTCATGCACATAAATTGAAGATTTGTGGAATATTTTCTGTAGTTAAGTTCAATGAAAAGTGGGATTGTTGAAAAATGTTCCCATAATTTACTTAATAGCAATGGCCCTCAGATGGAAATCATTTAAATATGTATAAAAGTGTAAGACCACAGATTTTTGTTATAGTTTCTAGAATTTTCTAAATATTTGTGAGTTAAATAAACAACTACAGTGATGTCATAGAAAGCTATAAAATGATGTTATTTCCCAGATACAGTCCTGCTGAATTTTTTAAGGAGAAAATATATTATAGTTTAAGAATAAAATTAATGTCAACTATTTACTTTTATGGAAAGAAAATTTACACAGAATTTCAAAAGCACCAAGTATTAGTACATTTAAAAACTCTGAATTTTGAAATGTATTATTATATTAAATTAAATATAATTAAATTAAATAATAAATTAAATATATTATTATATTAAATAATGCCAAGTAAAATAACATATTATTTTACTTGCTGTTACTTAAAATTGTCTACAATGTGTTGAAATTCTTTGTGATTAAAACCAAAATCAAAGAAACAATACATATTTCAAAACTATGAGCTGAAACCGTAGAGAGACTGAAACTGTAGAGAGACACATATTTTTATTTCTTAATTACCAAGGGCAGTCACGAGAGAAAAACACCTTGCATTTATGATATTAAATATTTCATGCTTTAATTTTTTTAAAAACTTGATTTTTATTCTAGTTTTGCAAATCCAATTCATTAATAGTTTTGATACTGAGTAATCTTTAATCATCAAGATAGAGTAGAATCAATATTTAAAAAACAAATTTCTAAGAATGGTTTAAAATACTATTTCGATCTAGAAAAAGTATCCAATTGTTACCTGTTTGGAGAAAAAAAAAAGACTTCAAAAATGGGATAAAATTCATTAATTTCTGAATGAAGATAAAACAACAACAGCAGCAACAACAACAACAGCAAAAACCCACAATTTTTTCACTAAGAAAATGTATGGCTATCATAAATCTTCAAATGGATTATTTTGTCTGATTCCTCTACTTGAGTATAATTTGGAATTATTACTCAGAGGGTATTTTTATGATCGCTCCCATTAGATCTCATCTCAAAGAATGTGGTAAAGATGTTTTATTAACCTATCTGTGAACATAACCCAGTTTGGCTATGTTAACAGGGACAAAAAAGGACTGGGCTTTGAGAGAAACCAACTTTTCCTGGTGTTTGCCTC